CCAAAATAGCACTAACATGAGGGTAGTGAGGTCCAAAGCAAGCAGTGCTGGGGCAGGCCCCTTCCCAAAAACCCGTCAGCCCTCAGAGGATGCGGGGGTCCTGCAGAAAACGCTGCCCTTTTATGGCCAGGCGAGGAGGGCCGAGCACAGGATCCTGCCCTACTAAGGGAAAACATCTCCTGCTCAGTGCTTGCAAGGAGAACACCCACAGTGAGTATAGACAAGCTCTCAAAGGACGACTGAAATACTGCTGCTCGTGTTGACCCCGATTCTTCTCTTCTTTTTTACTTTTTTTTTTTTTTTTTCTTTTCTCCTCTCTTGGAGTTCTCACTTCTGCCTCCAAACCGGGGAGGGGGGAAGCAAAAAAAAACCAAAACCAAACCAAAACAAAACAAAAAAAAACCACCAAAACCAAAACAAACAACAACAAAGAAAAAAACAAAAAATCCCCAAAAAAACCCAAAAACAACACCAAAAAAACCCCCCAAAAAAAACCCCAAAAACAAACAACAAAACAAAACAAAAAAAAACACCAAAAAAAACCCAACAAAAAACCAAAAGCAGAAAGACATTTGAAAAGAAAAGTGATGATCCAGGCAGGGCTGGCTGGGTCCAGGTGAAACCCTCCCATGGTGGGGTGGGGAGCAGGTTCAGGAGGGCTGGGTGGGGAGGTGGGTGAAGCCCCCTGAGCTGTTCCCCTTCCAGCAGTGGCTGTGCTGGTGTTTATCCTGCTCTGGCCTGGTGTTTATCCTGCCCTGGGCCGTGGAAGGGCTCTGATCCAAGCAGGGAAGACGTTTGTTACTCCACTCTCAAGCACGAGGTCTGTGCCAAGCCCATCCATCCACTGCTGCAAACCGCAGCCCTGGCTGACCCAGAATCTGCTGCCTGGGATGGAACCACCACCTCCCAAAGCTGCAAAAGCCTCTCCATCCCAGGGCAGGTGGGATTTTCACCAGGAATAACTTTTTGCCTCTGCTGGGCTGAAGCAGGGAGGGGAATCCACACTGCAAGTAAGACCCTGACTCATAGAAACCCCAGTGAATTTATATTTTTCTGTATTTTTCACGCATTTATCCACCCACGGGTATCTTCTGGATCCGGCAGCAGCCAGGTTTTAATTCTCAGAGGAGCTCAAATTGGATTCTAGGCCTTTTTTTCCTACCAATTTTGGAATTACCAGGTTTAATTTTATGTTTGGTAACACCAAAATTAGGAAGTTTTAACCTTTAAGTTAGCGCACAGCAATAAGAAGATCCAAGAATTAATGAAAAAATGCTTGGAGGAGTGAATTTGGTTTGGTGGCCACGTTTTGGTAGTGGGGGGCTACAGGGGTGGCCTCTGTGAGAAGCTCCTCAAAGTTTCCCCCATGTCCAGCAGAGCCAATTCCAGCCAGGACTGACCCAGCCTGGCCAAAGCTGAACCCATCAGAGATGGGAGCAGCAACTCTGGGGAAAACAGATTTAGGAAGTGGGAAAAAAAGCCCTGCAGCTGCAGACAGAGAGAGTGAGGCCTCAGGTTTTGCTTTTCTATTTTTCAGATTCTGTGCTGCTTTAGTGTGTGGGTCTGAGCTTCACATCAGGGCATGCTGAGCTCTGTGCACAGAGCAGGGAGACAAAACAATTCCTGCTCCAGCTGGGCACCAAGGACAAATGATCCAAATCTCAGCCCAAGAGCACAAACCCCGTGGGCTGGAGAGAGAAAAACAAGCAGGGTGGGACTGCAGGGGCTAAAGCTGGGATGGGACAATGAACTGCAAGATGCAAATGGAGCAGAGCTGATCCCAGGGAGAGAGCCCGGGAGCGCTGGTGCATTTTGGGGCCATTTTGGTTCATCTTGGGTGCAGCCCTGGCTGGGCTCTTGTGCTGCCCAAGGTGCATCCATGGAGGCCTTTGAATAAATCCCTGCTTTATTCTTTAGTTCTGACCAGTCTCTGTTCAGGGTCAGCCTGCACAAGGCATCATGAGGAGTTAAGACATGTGAGAGGAACAGCCCTCCAGACCCCCATGAGGAAGGGCAGGAGCTGCTGCAGGTGCTGGAGCTGCAATTCCCCTGAGATTCCATGGTGCAGCCTGTGGAGAGCCCCTGCAACAGCCCATGGATCCACCTGCAGGACATGGAGGAGCCCATGCTGGAGCTGGGGATGCTCAAAGCACCCTGTGACCCCATGGAGAGCCCAACTGGGGCAGGCTCCTGGCAGCACCTCTGGATCTGTGGGGGAATCTGCCCACACTGGAGCAGGTTCCCGGCCTCTTGGGATCTCTAGCTTGTCACAGTGACCCTGAGATGTGTTAGAAAGTCTTTTTTCCCAGCCCGGCGCTTGAAGAAGGAGTCAGAGCTCTTCAGTTCTCGGTCTCAAGGTTGTTTATTGTTTCTTACCTATAAAATTCTTCCTCCTGTTTTTTCCTATAAAATTCTTTCTTGTCCAGCCAAGGTCTGCTCAGCAGGACAGACAGAGGGACTCTGCCTGCCCCCAGGGCAGTGTTATGTCTTTATACTAAAAACTACCTGTGCAATATTTACAATTAACTTCCCAATACCTATCACCTATGTTAGACAGTGAGCTTCTACTCTAAACCAACCCAAAAGTGCCACCATCACAGCAGAAGATGGAGGCCAAGAAGAAGAAGGAGAAAGGCTGGACACGCCCAGTTCCCTCCATCTTGCCCCCTGAACCCCCATACCAGAAACCCTAAAATCTACTTTATCACCCTGTGATAAATTCACTATCATTCTACTTAATTTGTCATGGCTTGCAGATCTTCATCTAAGGTTGGTAATTTGCTCCATGGGTCATAATCAAGCCCACAGGCATTTTTGTGCTCTGTGCCAGGGTCCCTGAGACCCCTGGCAGGGCTCTGGGCTGCTCAGGACAGCCAGAGGGATGGAGCTGCATCCACCACAGCCCAAACATCTGCCCAGCTGCTGGACTTTGAGAGGTCCTCCTTGGCCAGCAGAGCTGGAGCCAGGTGAGGCTGTGCTGTGTCTCTGCTTGCTGCCTGGCTCCGCGTGGCCTCAGCGTCGGCGCAGCCCCGGCTGTGCTGATGTTGGCAGACACCGGGGGCTCGTTAGCGGCGAGACTCATTAGAACCGGGGCCCTGGGGGATGTTCTCATGGAATTCCAGAATGATTTGGGGCTGGAAGGAACCTTGAAGATCGTTCATTTCCAACCCCCTGCCATGGGCAGGGACACATTCCACTATCCCAGGCTGCTCCAAGTCCTGTCCAGCCTGGCCTTGAACAATTCCAGGGATCCAGGGACAGGTGGGTCACCTAAATGTGTTACAAGATCACGGAGCAGCTGCCGTGACCCTGCTTTTGGAGCTGGCTCTGCTCACCCCTTTGGATGAGTTACAGCAGAGCATTGCCAGGTCTTCCTTTTGGGTGGAAAAGGGCTCATTTGAGAGTTATTTAAGAGCAGGTTTTACAACCAAGGTCTGTGCTCTGCATGCACCGAGCCCAGCCAAGCCAAGCAGCCCAAGCCAAGTTGTCCTCGCTGCTGTTGTGTTGGAGGAACAATCTCTATTAACAACTTGACTTGGCAGTTTCAACATTTTGGGGAATGAAATATTTTTATTCTCCCACCAGGCCTTTCTCCAGCCATTATTGGCTACTGCTTTGCTGCACGAACAATTTAACCCCTGTGATGTTCAGGGCACTGGACAAAAGAAAATTTAGTAAAATTTAACCTTTTCCTGATAAAGCACATGGAGATTCTATTATCTAGGTGGGAAAACCACAGGATTTTACTTATTTCATTTTTTTTAAAGCCCTTCACAATACAATTAAAGAAACTATGTTGCCGCATGACTGGAGGAAAGGTCCTTTTGTTGCTTGAAAACTGGTGAAAAAGACAGAAAGCAAGAGGTTTCAACAGTCATTTCTTGGGATGAAAATTAGTCCAGAGCGTGGTACAGCAGAGACTGAGTCCAGGGTTTTTTCAACATCCTCACCCACAACCTACAGGAGCAAGAGCAGCCCCACATCTCCATTTCTGCAGGAGAGATCTTCTGAGGGCATCAAGTGCCACGCTGAGGGCAAGAAACTCCAAAAGGCTCTTAAAAAATGGAAAAAGCTGAGAAGAAATTTCAAACAAGCTTTGATGTAGGAATAGATCAAGTAAAGCATCTGGAGAAATAAAGATTTGAGCAACTCTCATGCTGTGCCAAGGCTGGGACTGGCACCACGAGCTGAGTCTTGGACTGCCCCCAGGAATCACCGGCTCAGCGCGTGGCCAAGGAGTGCTCAAGGTGGCAGCTAAAAAGAAAAAGACAAGAAATTGTTATTTCTCAGCCTTCCCTGCACACAGCCAATGCTCAGGGCATCACTCTGCTGCTGCAGGAAACCCTGATGTGTTCTTGTTTCAATAACTCTGCAGCCTGAACTCCAAGGGGAGCGCAGTGGTGATGGAGAAGAAGAAAGAACAATTAAATGACCACAGGGATGGGGCAGCTGCTTTACACCTTGGACACTTCCAGGGATCCAGGGGCAGCCACAGCTTCTCCAGGAAACTTTTTCCAGGGCTTCACCACCCTCACAGCCAAGACTTTATTCCTAGTACCCAATCTGAACCTATTCTCTCTCAGTTTGAAGCCATTCCCCCTCGTCCTGTTGATGCCTCAGGTTTTGGCTTTTCTATTTTTCACATTCTGTGCTGCTTTAGTGTGTGGGTCTGGGCTTCATATCAGGGGATGCTGAACTCTGTGCACAGAGCAGGGAGACAAAACAAAAGCTTATGAACCAGGAGCAGCAAATCCTGAAGGTGATGAGGTCAGTGAATGTGAGATTATTATCAAATTATAGAGATCGTAGAGTCCTATGGTTTGGGTTGGAGGGGAACTTAAAGTGTCACCAAAGAGGAGGAAAATATCCCAGGTGTTCTGTCCCACTGAGAACCCAAATTCCTTGAGGAAAGGATGCTGGTGTGGTGCAAGCTGTGGTGGTATCCATACTGGCCAGAGTGGTGAAAGCAGTGAAGAAGAGGAAGCACCAGAAGGCGCTCCATGGATGGCACCACAAATGAGAAGAAAAGAGGTTTCTCAGTGTCTCTGAAGAGCCTGAAGCACTCTGACTGTGAGGAGAAGCAGGAGCTCATTGAGGGAGCCAAGGAACTATTCCAGGGAAACCCAGTGGTGCCTCCAGCTGATCCTGGACCGTTGGATCCCAGTGGGCTGTCTTTCCTTTACCAGCTCCTTCCTGGAATATTTTGCCACTGCTATCAGCTACCCAGTGAGGAAAGAGGGATACCAGATGGAATTCCCAAACACAGGGGAGAAAGGGCCTGGACAGTCTCCCTCAGACACCTGTCACCCTGGTTTTTTAAGTTTTTCTAAGCTTTCTGATGTTTACATTCTTACAACAAACTTTCTCCCATGCTTTATATAAGTGACTTATTGTTTTGCATTCTTTTATGGAGGAGGAGAAATTTAATGGGCTGTTGGTTTGTCCAGTGTCATTGGAGAGGTGGCACTGTCACAGCCCAATCCACTGTCACTTTTGGAAATCCATAAATGTTGGAGTCAGAAATTAAAAGTGCTCTTTTTACCTTGAGAGAGCTGCATGTCTGTGTTGTGTCATTTCGTGTCCTACAGTGACGGACACCTCCCCACAGACACCCCTGAGGAAATTCCTCCTGAGAGGACCAGAGCTGCCAGGGACAGGGACAGCAAGAAGCTGGTGGAGTTCCTAGTGAAGACCAAAGGGGCTGAAGAGCATCTCCTGAGGATCTTGAAAAGTGGGAAACTGTCACCATGATATTTCCTGAAAAATCCCTTCGCCGGGATTTTTCTCCTGAGAAGGCTCAGAAAAGAAATGTAAACAATAATTATCTGATTGTTTGGAATGTGGTTTGGAGGTTGGTGACCAACAGGTGCATCCTTGATTGGTCCCATGTGAATTGTTTTTAATTAATGACCAATCCCAGTCCAGCTGTGTCGAGACTCTGGTCAGTCACGGGTTTTTATTATCATTTCTTTCTAGCCTTCTGATGTCTCCTTTCTATTTCTTTAGTATAGTTTTAGCATATAATTTTCTTAAAATATGATATAATATGATATATTATATAATATGATATATATGATATGATATATTATATGATATGATGATATAATGTAATATAATATAATGTAATGTAATATAATATAATATATAACAGAACATAACATAGTATCATATGATATCAACATATCATATCAACATATCATATCATAATATAATCTATCAGCTTTCTAAGAACTTGGATTCAGATTCTCATCTCTCACCTCATCCTGGGAAACTGCAACAGGAAACAATCCTGCTGGCTGAAGAAATTCCTGAATTCCAGCTGGTACATAACCTGTGTGGAGACTCACTTGGAGGATGAGGAGCAGCTGGATCTGGTGATTGGGTACCTGAAGGGGGTGTACAGGGATATGGACACCAAGAACCTGCAGCAGATCCTGGGGGATGGATGGCACCAGGCTCATCTCAGTTGTGCTTTGTCACCTGAGGCCATCACCTGTGCCATTGCTGCTGTGGATGGCATTGATTATGAGAAGGCAGAAGTTCATTAAAGAACCACCTGTGAGCAAAAGAGAGAGAGTTATTTAATGAACAAATCCTGGGGAGCAAAAAGCTCAGGATGGAGCCAGAGCCTGTGGAGAGCTGAGGAGTGGCCCAGGCTGTCCTGAGGCCACCAGGTGTAAATACCCAGTGGTGATTTGTATAAAAGGTGGCATTCTTTGTAAAGTCTGTATGTAAATTCCCAAATCCTCTGCTCCCAGCCCCAGCTGGCTCTCAGCCCTTGCTGCTTCCTGTGGCCTCCCTGTGCTCAGGATCCTCATCCATCAGTGCCCTCCTGGACACCTCCCACCAGACCAGGATGCTCCAAACAGCTTTTCTCTGTGATGATGAAATGTGATCTCCTTGCTTGTCTAGTAAAGTCCAAGGTAAAGAAGCAAAAAGGGCCTTTGCAGAATATCCACAGATGTTTAATTCAGCTGCGTGGTGAGATGGTCAGGTCCCAGGCACATTCAGGGTCCAGCTTTCTCTCTCCAGGGGCCTGACCCTGATCTTGGGGCAGTACAAAGATAAGGAACAATCAGGGAAATGGGAGGGAGTGGCTCAGGGACATAGGAACAGACACAGGAACAGGACAAGGAGCCAATGGGGTATAAATGAGGGGATGCTCCCCAGGGCCTCCACATTAAAGCTCATCCCCTGCCTGGACTCCTCTCACTGGACCAGGATGCTCCCAAACCTGGTCTTGGAGTGTGTTATCTCCTTTTACTTCTGGAAAAGACCAACAGTTTTGATAAACCCACAGGAAAAATGGAGCAGACCCCCCAAACGCAGCGAGATGCACTTGGATCACTGCTCAGCACCTGCAGCCTTCACCAATAAATAAACAATGAACTTAAATGAGGAATAAACACCATCCCTCATCCAATACACAGGGCAAAGGTGGATGGGATGGTTCCTGTGTGCAAAGTCCAGGGTGGGATTCCTGTGGCAGCCCTGAAGGGCGTTGGTGTCACCCCTGGGTTTGCCAGGTGTGGATCTGCCCAGCACGGGGCTGGCAGCTCCAAGGCAGCTTTGCATATCAAAGGAGAATGCAGCAAGAAGCAGCTTTTCATTAGCCAGGAAGTCACAAATTGATACCTTGATTGAAATAATTATCAAGAATTACAGGAAATACCCAGAGATGCATTTAATATTCAAGAGAGTCTCCAGGGAGTTGGGGAAACTTTGCCCCAAATAGGAGTTTCTGTTCAGGGATGCAGCACAAAATGAAGCCCCCACCTATCAAACCCCCCATTATCAGTCCTGCCTTTTACCTGTCTTTTTAGAACAGATCCTTCCTTTTTCTTCTTTAGATTATCCTGATTTTTGAGGCTGCTGTGGAAGTGCTGGAGTTGCAAAGCAGATACAGAGGAACTGCAATAATTTCGCTGCTCCTTTCTCTCCCCTCTGGTTTTTAGGTCCCTGAAATCCACAGGATCCATCACAACAGGAGTGTCCAGAGCAGCTGTGCCTGCCCCTGGATCCCTGGCAGTGCCCAAGGCTGGGTTGGACAGGGCTTGGAGCAGCCTGGGACAGTGGGAGGTGTCCCTGCCATGGCAGGGGGTGGGATAATCTTTAAGGTTCCTTCCAACCCAAACCATTCTGGAATTCTGTGAAATCGGTAATGGGAAAGACAAGAAACCATCTTACTCTGGAAATATTCATATACAGGAAATATCCAGTGAGTTTGCTTCCCCTGCCTAAGCCATGTTATATAATGCCCCAAAAAAACCAAACAGACAAAAAAAACCCATCCAACCAACCAAAAAAACCCAAACCCCAAAAAACCCCAAAACCCACACAGGGAAAAAAAAAAAACAAACCCAAAAACCAAAAACAAAAACACGGAAAAACAAACAAACAAAAAACAACACATAAAACACCCCAAAAACCAAAAACAATATAAAAAAAATCAAAGAAGAAAAAATCCAGGATGAAGATCCCACAGAAATACTCTGATTTATATTAGTGCCAAAAATCCCCATAAACTGCTGGTATTTGTGCTGAAAATATTGAGCAGAGAAGGTTCCCTGCCCATGGCAGGGGGGTAGGAGTGGATGAACTTTTAGGCTCCCTTCCAACACAAGGTTTTCCCTAATTCTATGATCCTAAAGGACACAGGGGTGGAGTCAAGGCCTCAAAGAGGTGTCTCAGGGAAAGTTCAGGCTAAATTCAGATAGAAAGTTCAGCCTTTTCCCAGTGGGGTTTAGAAACACCAAGGCTCCAAGGGCAGGAATGGACCACAAACCATGGGCACCTTCTTCAGGAAGGTTTTTATAAGACCCAAATCCAGAAGCTGAAGTTCAAATTGAAGGTGAGACACCAGGCAGCCCCTGCTCACATCCCTGCAGCCCCAGCACAGCTGGAAGAGGGGAGATGGCAGGGACAGAGGCACTGGGGGAAAGCAGGGCTGCAAGGAGGGAGCATTGCTCACAGCAGTTATTTATGATTTGCCAGGAAAGCGAGCAGATACACAGCCTGGGACTCCCTGGGGATCTGTCCCAGGCCTGGTGCTGCTCAAAATATTTTTTTGATAATTACTTGCATGAATAGAAAATTTGCTTCTTCCAGCTGCGAATGATAGCGAGGAGGGAGGGACTGGGAGCGCTCTGGAGGATGGGCTGGGACTTCAAAACAAGCTTGAGGCAGCCTGGAGAAAAAAAATAAAATAGTCTGCAATTTAGGGGAAACAAAGGGAAAATGCTGCTTGTAAAAGAGGAGCTGGGCTGTGGGCAGGGAATGGGGGAGCAGGGATGAGGCAGAGATGTTGCATCCCTGCCTGGGATGGGCAGCCCTCCTTGTTCTGAGGGACAAGCAGCACAGCACAGGCAAGGGAAGGTGCAGGCTGCCTGCAGGACATGTGGAGAGGGGATGTAGATGCCTGTGGCTCCATGGATCCTCATCAGAAGTGGGTTGTTTGTATAGATATGGGGATTTGGGGAGGCTGTGGGCTGGTGGTGGAGACCAGGGGTTGGTCAATCACAGAAGCTGGAAAAAGAAATCCAAACAAACTCATCCAAAATCCAAAAACCCCTCAAGCTCCCCCAAAATAATCAAGGGACTTGGGAGTTATTTATTGCAGAGAAGATCAAGTTTGGGCAAGAGCTACCTTGCTACCTTAGAGCTTTTACAAATATTTAAGGCAGTCTGTTCCCTTTATTTAAATATTTACAGGGGCCTGGAGTGACAGGACAAGGGGGAATGGATTCCCACTGCCAGAGGGCAGGGATGGATGGGATTTTGGGAAGGAATTCTTCCCTGTGAGGATGGTGAGAGGTTGGAACAGAATTCCCAGAGCAGCTGTGGCTGCCCCTGGATCCCTGGAAGTGCCCAAGGCCAGGCTGGATGGGGCTTGGAGCAGCCTGGGACAGTGGGAGCTGTCCCTGCCCATGGCATGGGGAGGAATGGGATGAACTTTAGGGTCCCTTCCAACCCCATTCTGAGTTTCTCTGATTTTCTTAGAAGGAAATAGGTTGTTCTCTTCCTCTCTGTGACCAGCAGTGATGGGCTTATGCAACAGAAAAGGAGCTTTAATTGAGACAACAACAGCAACAAAATTGGGAGTTTTGTCTTGGTTTGTTTTTTGAATTTTTTTTTTTTTAATAGAGTGCATAGTTCAGGCAATTTTGGTTTTGGCAGTCCAACTGCTCAATATCAGCCCTGAAATTTTTTTCATATATTGGCTGGATAAGAAGTGCTGTGATTTATACAGCTGGAGTTGATCCTGACTCTGCAAAGGAGGAGACTGTGCAGAGCTGAAAAGGGCCCTTTTTGCCATGTTCTCTGGCACAAACTCCTCATGAAAGGTGTCAGTTCAGAGCTATTCATGGAAATGAAAGATGAGCATGGAATCCATGCAGCTTCCTGCAGAAAGTCAGCAGGAAATCCATGGCTAAAGCAGGATTCCTCCATCAATATGTGGGTTTTGTTACAGAGAGCAGTTTTGATAAAACAGATTTTTTTTTTTGCTTTGTTTTCCCTCGTGGTTCAATAGAAGAGAGGTGTATTGCTACATTCCTGAAATCAAAAATCACACCAGAGACACGACCAGGCAGCCTGGGTTTGAGATGATGTGAGCTCACATTCCCAGATTCTGTGCTGCTGACCAGATTTTCCTCACAGTTCTCACTTCTGTGATAACCAACCCTGCCAAGCCCAGAAGGGAATCACATCCTCACAGCAACCTGTGAGCTCTCAGGAGCAGAGAATTGTCCCAGATGATTTTCAGTGGCTTTGGTGGCACAGAGAAACCAAAATGCACCTCAAAGTCCCTGCAAGGGCTCCCACTCACCAGCCCTGCTTCCCACAGATGAGAACAGCGAGTCCTTGACATCCTTCCTCCCTCTTGGCTTTTTTTTGACAATTTTTCATTTTTAAAATGAACAATTCTTTGAGACAAGGGCAATATCTGATCTTTGAAGAAGGGAGAGGGTAAGGCCCAGGTCTAGAGCCCATGGGCTGAGGGCGATTCCTATTTAGCCAGAGGTGGAGGACCTGTAGGTCTGTGTGGAATATGACATTTCCAACAGGTTCCCTAAAATCATCACAGAATCCCAGAATGGTTTGGGTTGGAAGGAACCTAAAAGATCACCCAGTTCCAGCCCTGCCATGGGCCTGGACAATTTCCACTATCCCAGGTTGCTCCAAGCCTCATCCAACCTGGCCTTGGACACTGCCAGGGATCCAGGGGCAGCCACAGCTGCTCTGGGAAGATTTTTCCAGAGCCTCCCACCCTCAGAGCCAAGACTTTATTCCTAATATCCAATCTAAACCTATTCTCTCTCAGTTTGAAGCCATTCCCCCTCATCCTGTTGTTGCCTCAGGTTTTGCTTTTCTATTTTTCAGATTCTGTGCTGCTTTAGTGTGTGGGTCTGAGCTTCACATCAGGGCATGCTGAGCTCTGTGCACAGAGCAGGGAGACAAAACAATTCCTGCTCCAGCTGGGCACCAAGGACAAATGATCCAAATCTCAGCCCAGGAGCACAAACCCCGTGGGCTGGAGAGAGAAAAACAAGCAGGGTGGGACTGCAGGGGCTAAAGCTGGGATG